TATATATATATATATATATATATATATATATATATACAGTGGTAGGCAAATTATACGACTAATGGCTGAAATTACTTTTTGTTGCTGTTTCTTACTTTCTTACTTTTCTTGCTTTCTTCCTGAAAGTCATTGTTGAGGCCGAAACGCATACAACTGACTTTCTGCTGTTCAAACAGTTTTTGAGTAGCCTAACTGACTTTGAACCTAATTTGGAACAATTAAAGCAGTTAGACGTTTGTCTAATTCTTTCCACGTGCAAATTTTTTTTTTTCTGGCTGATGTTGTTCTCCTTCCATTTTTTTTAATTTTTTTTCTTTAAATGCGACTTAGATTTGGATTTTAGGCGGTTTTAAATGCAGGCTCAAATCTACCTAAAATTTCATAAATCGTAGATAATCAAGACTTGATCCTCTTAACCTAACGAATTTTTGTTGCTTGGCGACATTTATTCCTACCTGAAGCTTCACTTGATTAAAAATCATATTTAGGCTAACAACCACAGAAAATAAACCTCAGCTTAAAAAAATGAGTTGAATTCCTTGAAGAAGTACTATGGGATTAATCAAACGGCAAATTACCATGTGCACGCGTTGATGTATTACTTAATTACTTATTATTAAAGTTTACTAATGCTTCACATATACGAATCAGTATTTGTTTGAACTCTGCACATTTCTCAGAGCATTGTTCTTTGCTTAATTTATTATTTCATCTCTATTTTTGTTGGGAAATGCAGAAGTTAAAGTAACAGTTACAGAACTATGCTACAGATTGCACTATTCTTCTCGTCATCATAAGTATATATTTTCCTGTGATTTCATAGAATGGCTACTCTGATATTCCTTTGTTTGTTTATTTATAGTTACGGTTACAGAATGATCACATATTTATTTTCATATCTGGACGGATTTGTATTTTCGGGAGTGAAAAACTCTGCTTATTTGGTGCAAATGTTTGGCAGAAAGCGTTTTTGAAAGCACTTTCTTTCGTCTAAACCTAAACCTTATTAAATTGAAAATTCTTACTATTCATTTTTTTTTTGAAGCTAACCTAATCTTTTTTTTTAAAACTGTCTATGTTTTTCTATTTTACCTGTGATTTTTTGCTACAATACATTTTTGTATCGTTTTCTTCTTTTTCTTTTTTATTCTGCTTCACATACCTTAGAAATTTACTTAAAATACTGTATCACTTCATTAGTCGGTTAATTCGGCAAAAGAGGAAGAGGTTGGCTATAGTAAAAAGGATTTGTTTAAAGAGCAGTTGAAGGATTTTTGCTGAATTTAAATCACATTTTTTTTTTTTTTTTTGCATAAATGTTTAGTGCTCTATGGACTGTAAGTTGACAACAACGAAACAGAAGGGTGGAACAGGTGAAACAAAGAAAAAAATTGAGCTATGATTGGAATTTGCTGTCGAACACTGTTGTTTATTGCTCTTTTTTTTTACATTTTTTTTCAAAAAACGAAGCTAGAAGGAAGGACTTGAAAAGGTCTATGTTAATTGAATGATGAGAGACTTGGATGAGTGGAGAAAGGAGGAAGGGAAGAGGAAAGAGCAAAGGGACTTGGACAACAACGAAGTGGTACACGGAGTTGAAAAATGACAAATATTGTTTCGATAGTCACTTCAATTTTGTTGGTTTTAGTGATGATGATGAGGAGGATGAGGATGATGAGGATGATGATGTTGGTGTTGGTGTTGGTGTTGGTGTTGGTAGTGTGTGGCTGCTAAAAAATCATCTAACAGCATTATCTTTTCTGCCATATTTAGTTGGTGGAAGTTTCGATAATGTTTTGGGATAAATAAAAGCAGATGATAAAGATTACAGAGGAGGAGTTAGACAGAAAATAAAAAGAAAAAGAGAAAAAAAAATCAGAAAGAAAAAGGAGAATTTGAAAGTTGCTGGACATCAAAAGTTGTAAAAGCAGAGCTTAATTTCTTTTATTTGTTTATTTAT